ACAAGGTGCAAGGTCATGGGTTCGATTTCCAAAGAATGCACAGATCTTGGATGTAAGTCACTTTGGATGAAAGCGTCTGCCAAATGTAATGTAAATAGTGTTTAATAATGCTGGAGAAAGTCATAAGCTTCAAGGTGAAGTGCAATTTCTGTGCCACGACAATTAGGTTTTTTAGGTTTCATAATTTGCATAAAAGAACAATTTATTAATTTCAATCTTAAAAACTGCTATATTCTTATTCTCTACCACCTTCCCATTCAAACAGAACAGCAGACTCCTCTTCAATCACCAAACAGCCCAGGAGGACAGCCCTTGCCCCCCAAAAAGCCCAGACCTTCCCAGCTCACCTTGCACACAGACCCTGCCGAAGACGACCAAGTGGTTCCCTGCTTTCAACGTCTAACGGTATCCGACCGCATCAGTCCCCCCCAGACGCCCAGCCGAGTCACCAAACCCCTTCCCCCAATTCCCGGCTCAGCGGAGCTTTCCCCGGATCAGGCTATGGACAGTGAGGTAGAGTTCTTCAATGGAGATGACAATCGCTGTCTAGTTTCCGAACATTGCTCCAAACTCTCTCCGTTCCGCTACGGAATGCCCAGTCGGAGGAGTTGTGGACAGATTAGGGGCTGTGGACGGATTAACTATGCATACTTTGAAGGTCCAACATCCCAGCAGAAGCCGCAGCCGCAAAAGCCAAGGCAGGAGCAGGAAACTCAGCAGAGGGAACAGGAGCTCCGTGACCACCACCAACAGCAACAGCAGCAAAACTGTCTCCGACAGCAGGAACGTACGCAAAGGAAGCTGCGGCGCTCCCATTCCGGCCCCGCTGGCTGCTTTAACAAACCCACCTCCTTCCGACTGTCCAGTCACCACCGGAACACACAAGGCCTGGATAAACCGGAAGTTCCTCCCAGAGTTCCAATTCCACCACGACCAATCAAGACGGGAGACTACCGCCGCTGGTCAGCCGAAGTGTCATCGGGAGCCAACAGCGATGATGACCGACCTCCGAAAGTACCTCCTAGAGAACCTTTATCCGGCAGTAGTTCCCGCACCCCGAGCCCAAAGAGCCTTCCAGTGTACCTCAACGGGATCATGCCCCCAACACAGAGCTTTGCTCCGGACCCTAAATATGTCAGTCGCGGCCTGCAGAGGCAGAATAGTGAAGGCTCCCCGTGCATTCTGCCC